GAACTTGAAATATAAATAAACACTAATTTACTTACTTTGGTAATGATTTCGTCGGGTTTGGCTGACCATGGATAGGGCTGCCAAACACACACCACAGATACGTGCGTTTGTTGCAATTTGGACGCGACAAGAGCGGAATTTTGTCCAAATACGAAGCAGCTGGCCTGCTCCGTTTCATTCGATTTACAGAAATGACTTTTCCGCATGTTACTCATTTTATTTCCGTATTTCCACATTCTGAGTAACACCACCATAAAAGTTATAGAAAGACAAACGAAACGATAGCGCGATGTTTTGCCGCCACGCTTTCGAGAGAGAGGGCTTTCCCTGAGGCGAGACAGCAATAATGAATTCACGGTCAGCGTCGACGCGCATGGTCGCGCAGAATACTCCCCTGTTGGTGATCAACTCGTTAAGCGTTAGCTTAGTCAACTCATTTTAAGCTCGTGATGAGCTATCGAGGTGGCTAGATTTCGTATTTTTCGGATAACGCTTCTCAGCCAATCGTTTTGGGTAATTCCCATAACCATGGAATCCATTGTATTCGCCAAGTGACGTCAATGAAAGAATCCACGCACGTTGTTTGCCGAGGAAGCCATTTTGGATTTTCGATCACTTCATAATCGGCAGCATATTTTGAGTATTCTTAGTTTACTTTAAGTTTTTCATACTTTCTAGTTAAAATTTAGATATGAATATTCAGTGCTGCGTTGCATGAGCTTGTTTGCTGGACGCAGAKATCTCACTATGTTTGGAGTTAAAATTGGCTAAGGGGAAACCCCCGAAGCCGCTTTATTCAATATAAAATCTAAGTTTAACTTTTCATGTGACAATATTATAAGCGATGAAAGTCAGCCCCAGAAAAGGTGAGGGCATAACTCGAGTTATAAAACAAGAGRACAGGTATGGGGAGGAGGTGGGAATTTCGACGCTACGAAAAAGAAAGTGTACTCGTAAGGGCTAAAATGTGGTTGAACCCTGGGCGTATGCGATTAYATGACCAACCTCATACGCATGCCCATCCTCGATAGATAAACCTTATTAGGTAATAGTGAACAATAAATTGCACCTCGAGATAATGTAACGCACGCTACTGATTTGTTTACAATACACTTAGTAAAATTACTGACTGGTAAAAAGTAAGGATGCATAATAGTYATGTTAATTAATAATTAAACCTCGCGGTCAAGTGGACTACGTTTTGATAGTCAAGCAAGAAAACATAAAATCTCTATTTGGTTCAAATATCTCATTTATGCTCTATTTATTGGCCTGAGATATAAGCAGATACATGCTAAGCACTATAGCTACCATGTGTTAATATGTCATGCCATTGTTAAAAAGCAATCCATATATATYATATGTACATATACAGGTCTCTAGTAGTGAGGTCTGACTATCTTGCCTTGTATTTCCTCATTACTCAATTTTTAATGTCTTCATATTTCAAGTGTA